AAAAAAAAAAAAAAAAATAGGCTAGCTCTATATAATTCAAACCCTGCTTAAGAGCCCAGACCAGTGGATTTTAGTTCCCTGTATGAACTGTTTTTTTAAAATACTGTATCACCAATGTGCTTGATGGTACAAAGGACAAAATTGCATGGAAAAGTATGGATATCATTGACTAAGTTAAAATGTGATTCAAAAGAATCAGGATGTAAAGAAGTTTTAGGACTCCCTGGGTTAATTTATTTTGCTTATATTTTTCTTTCTAGGTGAATTAAGATGATATATAAATGTGTCTAAATCTAAAAACTCAGTAAGTGTAAAATAAATAAGTGATTAGAAAGCATTGTGTCATAGTTTAATTGGAAATATTTTTTTCTTTCTTACTGGCATATAAAATAATGGTGCATTTTATAATTGATGGTGTCTTAGATTCATTGAAATATGGGTAGCAAGGATTTGATGAGTCTAGGAACCATGAAGTAGGAATCCCTACTTTTCTGGAGACCCACAGACTGGTTCCAAAGAGTATTTTCAGCTTAAAAAGAAAAAATGGAATACCCAATGTTGACAAAAGCTGTGGAGGCAAGTATATAATGAAATGGACAGTGGTATAAACTAGGAAATTAACCTTTAATAAAATAATTTGACTCAAAAAGAATGAAAGATATGAAAACAGAATGAACCAAACAAAATTCCAACAAACCATCAGATTCTGAAGAATCCCTGATGGGAAAAAACGTTGCAAGTCAGACCACTCTGGAAACAGTGGCACTTCTTAAATTTACAGCAACTGTTACAGTCAGACGGTATGCTGGTTACAAGGTGACATCTTAGCTCCACACCCACTCTCCTATGCTCTGCTTTATTTTTTTATTTTATTATTTTTTTTAAAGATGACCGGTAAGGGGATCTCAACCCTTGGCTTGGTGTTGTCAGCACCGCGCTCTCCCAAGTGAGCTAACCGGCCATTCCTATATAGGATCCGAACCTGTGGCCTTGGTGTTGTTATCAGCACCACACTCTCCCGAGAGAGCCACGGGCCGGCCCTATGCTCTGCTTTATGATGCTCATGCCGAGATGCTGTCCTTTGCCCACTGGTTCCCTATCAAGTTCTGCCAGTAGGAGGCATGACAAGCCTTGTTCTAGGAAGGAGAAAAAACTGCAACCAGTTGCCATTGCCAGGGTGATACAAACAGGGACAGCAAGCAAACAGGAAAGAGTAGGAGGCTTCTCTTTCCTTCAGCCTACAGGTTCTCTGTAGTGGGTCCTTCCTCCAAGCTCTGGAGGTACTAGCACTAACTAAGTGGTGCTGCCTTCTTGAGGTCTGAGTCACAGCTCCTTCAGGCCTCTCCTTCAAGCCTCTGGATTCTAATAATCTCAGCCTCTTCCCTTTCTTCTCTAGCTCCAGGCATGGGAGCTGCTCCCCGCAGTTATCATCTCTGTGTTACACAGTATTCCTGTTTTACCTCTTTAATCCTCTATCCTCTGACACCTATGTTACTAATATTCCTTATATTAAATTCCCTCTTATCATAATTGTTTTAGTTTCTGTTTTCCTAGTTGGATCATGATTGGTACAGGTGGACCGATGTGCATTTTCTATTTAGTACATTAGTATTGATTTCACATATATCTGTAAAGAATTATACTCCTTTTTGGATTCCCATACCGGCCAGTCACAAAAAAAAAAATTATCCTCCTTTAACCACCAGAAATCTTTGAAATCAGGGCTCTTATGGGCAATTACAGAAGGGGCACTGAATCAGGTGTCAGCAAAGCCAGGTCCTGGTCCCAGTTCTGTCACTGGGTTCTGTACTCTATCTCAGCCTCAGTTTACCCATCCATATACAGGGCATGGTAGTACCTGCCCTCTCCTGGGATATAATGGATATAAAAAAATTGTTCCAAATCATACATATACCTTATAAAAATAAGGTAATGGTGTAATTTATGAATTCTCTTAGCTAGACACCAATTGGATGTTAGATACTGACCTAGAATTTGTGTTAAAGTATTAGCTCTTTGAATCCCTGCTTTCACAGCTGTTGCACATGCGTTAAGCTTACTTTGAACTACATGTAATTAAATAACCAATTTCATCAGTGATCCAAGTGATAACACAGAGACGTAGCCCGCCTCTACCAGCCCTGTGGGGGGAGAGTCTAGGTGGTGACAGGTCATTTGTGAGAGTCTCACCATTTGTGTCATCACATCCCGCAGCTATCCCCCTGCCCTGCTCTCCTTCCCACTCACTGACACTGCATGGGCCTCACTTGCGCTCAGAGCACATGCACTCGCTTTGCCTGGATCACTTCCCCCAGACATTCCCATGCCTTGTCACCTCACCTCATTCAAGTCTCCAGCAAGTCAGGTCATCCTGAATGTTTTCTGTTAAACTCTACTCTCATCATTCTCTAATTTTATCCAGCTTCATTTTTCTTTGTGGCGCTTACTGATGTTATTACTGATATTGTTACATATTTATTGATTGACTTTCTGTCTTCCCAGCTGGGAATGTAAACTCCACTAGGGTGAGGATTTTGTTTTATTTACCATTATATTCCCAGCACCTGAAATGGTACCTGGCACATAGTAAGACCTTAAAAAGTACTTGACAAATTAATGAGCAAATTTAGCAAGTAGACACTATGGTGCTGTTCCAGATCTCTGTCCACTGTGAACTTGGAGTGAAGGTCTGCACACAATCAATTATACAGACTGACACTCTGGAGGATGCTGCCTTTTTGCAAAAAGATTTATCCTACCCAACATCTTTTTTTTTTTTTTTAATGTCTGGACATTTTAGTCCTGGAAAGAGGACCAGATTTGGAGTAAAAGACCTGATCTCAAAGCCTGTCTTTACCATTACTAGCTGAACTTCTGGTAAATCCCCTAATCTCCCTGATCCTTATTTTTCTTCTCTATCCATTGGGAATAATACTGGCTCTGCCTACCTCAGGCTCTATGTTTATTGTAAAGATCAAATGAAATGAGTTTCCCTTTCTCCCACCTTGTTGGAGTCTGGATTCTTCTGGCAATTCTCTGCTGGCCACTATTCTCTCTTGCAAGTTGAGAAGTTTGATCTTTGCTTCCTGTCCAACCCTAAAGATCCAGAAGGCCTGGATCCATTACAGAGATTTAACGCAACATTGTCTTCCAAGTCTTCCCAGATGCCAACTGAAGAAAATTCACAGGAAGACAAGGGAGCCTCTTTTCCATCCTACTCATGACTCAGTAACTTGATCATCAGCACTGGTAGCAGATATCCCTCTGCTACACCTGTGAAGCTGATGGAACAGGACAGAGAGAATAGTATCAAACAGAACAAGGAGGGCAGGTTTCTCTATAACTAGGCCTAGGATAAGGACGTTATTGTCTAGAAGGAAAGAAATGATTGAAAGTTTCTGAAAGCTGAGATATCTTCATCTCAAATGACCTTATGAGTCTGAAAAAGAACAAAAAACCTCTTCTGCACGTAATGGTGATGGTGGAAAGCAAAATGAATCAGTAGATGGAGGATTCAGATGGGAGTGCTGATATACCATAGTAGAATCCTTCTGGGAAAGGATCAGTTGTAGCAACAAGATCCAGAGTTGTGTCGAGGAATCATGTCAACAGTGGTCACATTTCGGTAACTGTCCTTTCTTGCTAGTCATTTTAGGATCACTGTGAGGCAAGATGGTGGATGGCAGGACTGGCAACCAATTTTTTTTAACTGCCTACATATGATCTATGAGCTGTAATTTGTCTTTTTCCCTCCTCAGGTCTCTGTTTTCCTTACTTTCATGTCCATAATTTATAAAATATCTGTGGTTTTAATGCCTTGCTGATTTCACTTAGCTTCCTGTTTCATTTTATTGATTGGTACTAAAAGATGCACAAGGCTTTAGAGTCCTGACATGAATGATGAGATGAGGTCCAACATCAAGAATGTGAAGCAAAGACACTTGTGGTTTAAGAACGTGTAAGTAGGGCAGGTCGGTTATCTCAGTTGGTTAGAGCGTGGGGTTGATAACACCAAGGTCAAGGGTTCAGATCCCCATACCGACCAGCTGCCAAAAAAAGTATGAATAGAGCTTGGGGGTTTTCTGTTGAGTTTGTTTGGGGAATGCCTAATGATTAGGATTAGGTTTTTATCTATTCTAAAAAGCTGATTTCTAAAGAAATGGAAGACAATTGTGATGTGCTATTTTTTTCATACAAATACAGGCATTTTTAAAACAAAGAAAAAAAACCACCAGTAACAACCCTAAAGATCCAGTAACAAAACAAACAGATCCAATGAGACAGCAGAAAGAGGCAAATGCTATCCAAGTGTTTATAGTTGTTATTGACACTTCAAGTTCCTATTCATTTTGGCCTGTGAACATTTGAGAGGCACAAATATGAAGTTCAAGGGTACGTTGTGTCTCTTTCCCCAGTGTTGATCCGCTTAACACCTGCTTGTTTTTCTCTTTCTTTTGGTGAGGGAGATAATGTCTGTGTACAACAGGATAGTGGGTCATTGTGTATGTACTGAAGTGATGCGGATTCTTCCCAGACTTACTAAAGACCAGGTCCGCTGGCCCTCTTTGGGTTTCCTAGACTAGAGAAGAGGACAGGAACCAGGATGGGAAAATGGACATGTTACATTTTAAACTGGAGCTTCCCCTGCAGTCCACGGAGCATGTTCTTGGTGTGCAGCTCATCTTGACTTTCTCCTACCAATTGCACGTGAGTCAGTTCTTGGGGAGGCCCGTCCTTTCCCATTTGTCTTTTATTTTATTCTATTCTATTTGATTTTATTTGATTTTTTTTTTTTGGGGGGGGGGGGCTGGCCAGTATAGGACCATTTGTCTTTTTTGTTTTTAAATAAAGATGACTGGTTAAGGGGATCTTAACCCTTGACTTGGTGTTGTCAGCACCACGCTCTCCCAAGCGAGCTAACCGGCCATCCCTATATTGGGATCCAAACCCATGGCCTTGGTGTTCCAAGTGAGCCATGGGCCAGCCCTCCATTTGTCTTTTAATAAAACAGAGCCCTCCTTCTGATTTTTAGGAAGACCCACACTGTAGAAGGCTCTTTTCTGGGGTATAGTTTGGGATTTAACTTAGGCAAATCAAATGTTTCTCACTGGAGTTATAATAAATGAGCTATTAATAGCTCAGAGAGTTCTGGGCAGAGTGTTTCCTCATGGCTAAACCAGGTATGTGAGGGCCCGTTAAGCTTCAGCCACAGACAGACGACTCTTAGAACCCAGCCAGAGCCTTTCAAATCTGCCAGCAGTTGGTATTGTCTCTCCTTCTCATGATTTCAGAGAATGTCAACATTCATGATGCAGAGTATGGCGTTCCTCCAGTCCTCCTTTGCTGTTCCTGGGTCCCAGTTATATGTGAATGGAGACCTGAGGCTGCAGCAGAAGCAGCCGCTCAGCTGTGGTGGCCTAGATGTCCGATACAACGTAAGGGTGCTTCTCGTCATCCAGCTCCTTTGTTTCTGTATATTACTGTTTATCAATTTTTTGAAGAGGGAGAAATCAAAGTTGGAAGTAGCATTTCTGTGGGTGGCACACACGAGAACTTCTGAAGAATTCTTGCTATGGATTCTTTCAAAATATGGGGAAGGTGCACTTTTATTTACACCAAGAAAGAAAGAAAACTGTCTTTGCCTTTATCAAAGAACGAAATTGTTTACTGTGTGGGGTAAACACACACACACACTTGCACATGTGCACACACCCCCTGTGTATTCCAAGTGATCTTTTCCAGTTTATGTAAAACATTTCCAAAAGAATACAAGCCCCCATTTATTGAACAGATAATGTGTGCCAGCCCTGAGTTGAGAAGTTTACATGCATCATCTCTTTTAATCATCACAGCAACCTCATGAGATGCCTACATTTGTCATTTCCCAGCTCCAGCCACTTGTCCTATCCCTGTTGCCCTTGCTTCATTCCAGCCACACTGGCCCTTTGTTGTTCTTCAAACCCACAAAGCAGCTCCCCCCTCCACGCTTTTGCACTTGCCATTCCCTCTATCAGGTGTCCACGTAGCTTATTCAATCACTCCATTCAGGTCCCTGTTCAAATGTCCCTGAGCACAGGCCTTCCCTTACCCTTCTCTCTCAAATAGCATCCTGCCCCCCTCCAGCATCCCTCACCCAGATTTACTTTCCCTACTGCCACCTGACATGGTAATGATATGTTTTTGGTTTATTTGTTGTCTACTTCAGTGTTAAAAGCACTGATATCTTGTATACTATCACTCCAGTGGCTAAAACAACACTGGGCACATTATAAGCTCTCTTCTTTTTTTTTTGTTTTTCAGTGGCTGGCCAGTAAGGGGATCTGAACCCTTGACCTTGGTGTTATCAGCACCATGCTCTAACCAAGTGAGCTAACTGGCCAACCCATAAGCTCTAATTTTTGATATTCAGCATTGATATTTGTTGAAAGAAGGAACTCTCATTTTGCACATGAGGAAACTGGGATTTACTGATTAATTTTCCCGAAGTCCCACAGCTTAAAAGTAACACAGCCAGGAACTGTCTGAGTCCAGAACTCATGGATCCAGTCACTAATCCCTGACCTTTA